ATTACTTCATTCCCCCAAGTGACAGCTTAGCTAATATATAAATGTGAAGTTGTGACTCTTGCTGCATTTGAGAGCTAAAAAAGAATCCCAACCAACTGAAGCTATTTAACGTACAGGAGATTGGAAAGACATAGCATTATATTTATGGTATGGTATGGCATGGCATGGCAAGGTATGGTGATGTGCATTCTGCACACATCCATCAATAAACAAAATGCATCATTTATAAACAAACAAAGATTGAATAAGACTGAGATATCTATGGAGATTCTCAGTCATCCAGATCATGGTTGTCCCAAAGGTGCTTTTTTCAAAAGGCAATTGGACTCTGTTTTAACTTGAAGGAAAAACAAAGTTCAGTTCTCTTTTGAAAAAGCACCTCTGGGATAAGACTGAGGTATTAACAGCCTTGGGAAAACTCCCAGTATTTTTAAAACAACAGTTTAAAAAGTTAGAAAAAAAGAGGAAGTGAGGCCACTGTGAAGATACAGCATGTGAAGTGAATATAAAATACTGTTTTATGGGAAGATGACAAAAATGGAAAGGGGGAAGGAGAAATCCTGAAAAAGGCCATGCAGTTAGTCTGGAACCTGCTGCAACATTTTGTTGTAGATCCCACTTCTCTTGAATTTCTGACTCGGCCCTTTTTGCTCACACTTCTTGCTGAAGAGCTAAAGTTAGTTAAAGAAAGGGAAGTTTACTTCAGATTCTTGCAATTCTTTTAGACCAGACATGTCAAAGTCGCGATGTCACGTGATGTTGCACGATGTATTGGAGCTTTTTCCCCATTGCTGGCAATGGAGTGGGTGCGGTCTCATCGTGACATGTCCGGTCCATGGGCCGGCAGTTTGACACCCCTGTTTTAGACCATTGTTGTCTATAGCAGTTATAATTACCTCAGGTTAAGCAGGTATTCAGAGAAAATGCAAAGGAAATTATTAAATATTTTAAATATTAAAACACACATATGCATACACATACACACACACAATATTTGATGGTGCACGCACTTGTAATTTTTACATGTTTGCTTGGGGGTATGCCCCACTAAATACAGCAGAATTTAGTTCTGATTTAATGGTCACAGGATTACAGTTTGAGCTTCTTAAAGCAATCTTTATTCATATGGTATTTGCAGGGAAGACTTTTATCATGAATAGATGTTCCTTCATTTCCATTTGTGGAATTCTGCAAAAGGGAAGTTATCCAGACACCATCATTTTCACTATAAGCATAATTTTCCCATATTTTTCTACAACATTTCTTCCATCTTTTTTCTTATGAAAGAAAAGAGAGATGGAACAATCCCACACAAGGTTTTGATTGTAGGGGACATCTGCCTGGAAGTACCCTTTTTCTCATCACAAATCCTTTTTCATTTATATTTCAGTTTTACTAAGTGCTGTCATTTCCATTCAAATATAAAGTTCAATACACAGTTTACAGTATCCTGTTTCAACAAACCTGAGTTTATATTACTTTAAAATTGAGATGAAAATAGATTCCTTAAAGGGGGTAAAAACCCCAAAGGGTTTAAATAAGCATGCCAGGTTTTTTTTGCTAAAAAAAAAAACATTCTGAAAACTTTGCACCTTTGTCCAAAGACCCATTCCTTACAGTTTGGAGATATATAATATGTAGCTTCTGCCCTAGGTATCTAAAGGGATTACTAGAAATCCAAAAATATGGGAGAATTGTCCATATTTTTGAAAATCAAATAATCATGTGTGCAAATAACCTCTTAAGTACATTCTGGTCAGATGATCTATCTAGGCCCAAAGGATGAAGTCTACATGAGTTCCACAAATACTTGCTGGTTCTACTCACCAGCTATAAACACCAGCTAATTAATGGGAGATCTTCACTAGGGTTGGAACAAGTTGACCGGCATGAAAGAGACATGCACAAACATGGCCCAAGAAATCATATAACTGTTCTCTCATTACAAGAGGCCTTCCTACAGGCCTCCCCTAAGGAGTACTGCAGGTCTGTAGATGAGTCAGACATAGTGCTGAAGACTTGTTGAATGTGTTAGGAAATATGTGGTGACTGGTAACTGCTAGTTCATAGTGAGAAAACTGTCATTTTGAACATTATGAATTGAGACTATGCATGCTTTGAAAATGAGCCACAGAAGTGTTTCAAATCTGCAAGTCCTGCTCATCTCTGCCGTGGTTTTCTCTTCCTCTTCCTCCTCCACCTTTTTTATATTGCTAAGCTTCTACAAACTGCTTTAAAGATCACATCAATCATTAATGCATTAAAGTAGCTGTACTTTTTTTTTTTTTTTTTTTAGAAAAGGCATGGCTGCTGGAATTGTCACAGAGAGAAACCGAATTCATGTAAGTGGTGAAAAGCATTTCTGAATAAATTTGAAAGTATCCACTGCTATAATTCTTTTCTGAGTTGGATGGCTGTTTGTTTGATCAATATAATTTCAGTTTCTAGGGCTACCCATTCATAAACTCTCATCCCTCAGTGGGGACAGGAAATAGATCCCCAGTCTTGAAACAGTGTGATCATTTACCAGGTATATCAATCAATCTGGATAATTCTACGACTGTAATCTTCAAATCCATCTAGATTTCCATTTTTCAAAACAGCTAAATTTTTAAATGCTGGCTAGTTGGCAAAACTATCTCTGGAATTTGTAAAATGCTTGCTATTCATTACCATACAATTTCAATTCATCCAGAAAAAAAATCAGAACTAGCTCCCAAATAGGGTAAGTAGAATCACTTAATACCATCAATATGTTCATAAATGCTACAACTATTACCACAAACTAGCCTCTTACTTTGAAAGATTGATGTCTACAGATTTGATTTTAAGAAAAGAAAAATATAGGATCTGCTTGCATAGCCAATTCCATCTATTTTATGTATTAACTTACATACTCATAGTGCCACATTTTTATGTTTCTTACAAAGGTTCTGAATGACTATCAGAAAAAAAAAATCATAAAAAGAATACCTCAATAAAAATACTACACCCCTCCCCAACTCAACATTTACTCAGCCATGTACCTGTCATTTTGAAAACAAAAAGGGGAAGTTGGTGGTTAGGAAACAGCAATGACTGGGAGTCTTTGCAAATCAAGATGAAGTCCTGCAAAAACCCTAAGACTTTCTGTCAGATAACTCCTAAGTATATTTGTGCTGCAAAACAGGTTTCTTTTACTAATTCCATACATTGCTTTTTAGAATGCTGAAGAGAGGAGATTGGTAATAACCTAATACCAAAAGCAAAATCCAGGGACACTTGAATCAATTCACTGTTGTTATGATTCCAGTCTTTATCTCTGAGTTTTCAAGATTAAGTGAATTATCCATTGTGTGCTTTAATGACTCTTTGCAAGGACTGTATTTAAAATGTTAGCAAAATGGTTGATCTATTGTTCTACATTCATTTTTGCTTCTTACTCCAAGTCACTGACTTCATGCAAAACTTATAGATATACAGTATTGAAGCAAAGTAGAGCATGTGACTGATTCTAATCGTCTACTCCAAAATGTTACTTTTCATTCATTTGTGATGAGGGGCCAAACCAAAGGCTTGTGCCTACTATGATACTGGAAGGTCCAGGCAATGGGTTTCCCAAGGGCACTCAAGAATCGAGGCTGCTGAAGGATGCCAGCTTGGTTAAATGACAAACTACTATGTGCCCAAAGTTCATATCTACTGCTTTTCATTTGCACAGTGGTCTTTATTTGATGCTTCTTTGCTCATAGGACATTATACCACTAAATCTATGCTTACAATTACAAAATACTTGTAAGAGGAAATCAAACAAAATCTCTTCCTCATTAAAGCCCTTGGTTTTCAAGAAAGATCCTCATCTAGGGTAAATTGGAACTGGGTGGTAATAGTGGTGGAAACTTTTCATCAGGACTATAATATGGAGGGAAGATGATGAAAACTTTTTTTTCCTATCTGATATGCCACAATTTAAGTCTTGGTCATTTTCTTCTTGTCTACGCAATAGGTGCTACCTTAAATCTACCCATCCAAAAGTGCTTGCATGAGTACATGCGAGCATGAGTACATGCAAGCACATACAAACAAGAGAAGCATAGGTTTGCACTTTAATTTTCAGAATTGTGATGAGAAAATATAATTTCTTCTGCATTTAAATCAATGCTACTAGGGAAGACATGCACACACATACTTAAAAAAAAGGCCAAGACTCCAGTGGGACTATAACATCATGAGCATCTTCATAGTCACTGCATTTTCTGAAATCCAAGGCGGACATCAAGAATTTGAAAGGCTTAAGATTTGTAGCTGTATTAACTTCCACTATGCTATAAGATGCATAGCCTCTCTGTGTCTCAGAACCATTAATATAAGACTCAGGCTAGATCTCCCACAGTCTTGTAGAAAGTGAGAGGCCAGTGTGAGGAGCAAGGGGGGTACTACCGTGAGGAGTACATAAAAGTATCTTTTAGCCAAAATTCAACACTGCAGCAACAGTACTCCCTGTTGCTTTCCCATCAGCCTGTTGTAGTTTGCATAGTATGGAGTCTAGCTCAGAGAAAAATGGTATCAGGGGGAATGAGCTGGTTCATTTCCCAGCTCCCATACAATTCTGATGACTGAGGTTTAAACATATGGTGTCTGCTGCTGTGATATCTAATTTGCTCCTAAAAGTCAGAATTTAATATTTAAGACTATGTGGATTCATATGAAACACAATTTAGCCAATCATATCTTTGCCTAACCTGTTGTACAAACCCAAACCAAGTGGTTAATGTGTGGGTCATGAATACCCAGGAAATTGAGTTAACTTATTAAGTTACCCATAAGAGCGTCTTGCAAACTCAACTACAGTCAAGAAGACAGTGTAGCAAAGAAGCTGGACCCTGGATCCCAAATTGTTTACCTGCTATACCTCTGGATTTGTCATTCCCTCTTTCTTCTAAAGAGTCTCATTTTATCTACTTTAAAGGGAAAAAGAAACAGAAGAAAAAGGGATTAACAAGTAAGCTGAACTTCCCTACCTTTGGGTCTCTCCTTCGGCACCTTCCTGTTCCCCGATTTCACCCTCAAGGTCTCTCAAACATTGTTGCTCCTCAGCCATTTTCTTTGCTGGCTTAAGATTGTGAGTTGAGTCACTTTTCTCTCCAAACTGTTTTGTAAGAATGATAAGAGTGCAGTTGTTCTCTCACCACTCTTCCTGTATTGACTCTAAAGCCAGATGCACCGGAAACCATGTGGGACTGGGGGTGTGAGTTTACTTTTTAATCAGAAAGAATCATTCTTTTTTTTAAAAAAAAAAAAGTCTTAAAAGAAGAGAACTGATCCCTCCCCTCCCTCCCAAAAAAAATCTCAAGTACTAATGCAGGCCATAAGGGGAACAAAGCATAATTGCAGCTCACAGAGCAATCTTGCTGTTTAAGTCAAACTCACAAAGCAGCAGCACATCTGTACTTGCAAACTTTAGATACCTCACATTCTTCTTTCCAACCTTATCTGTGTTTTGTCTGTGTAAGGATCCTTAGAGCAAATAACAGGGTTGGAAGACTGGGCAATTGCAACACAACTTCAAGTATCTACAAGCTGCATATTTGAAGGGATGGAAGGAATAAGAAATCCAGTCTTGCAAAACAAAAAAAAAAATAAACCTAAGCAGAGGGGCCATGTATAGGACAGCAAGAGATACTGTTCAAGTTAATTGGGGGGGGGGTTTAAAGGTTTAATCAGTATTAAGCAACCTTAACTACATATGATGCATCTAACCACATGAAAAGTCCTTTTCTGCCAATCAGCCAAATGACTTCCTTAAAAGGATAGGTAATTTCAAATTTCCTGAGACGTCATTGCATGGTTAACTGTTTGGTTTTATTTTAGTGTTTTTACTTTTAGAAGAAGACACGGGTGAGACGAGCCATTTCAGAAGATTAAAAATGGAATGAGCGTCGCAAAAAAAAATATATGCTGACTCAAGTGAAAGCTCAGAGAACTCCCATGTACTAGTTTACTCCAGACAGCAAAATATTTTGGATTAGCCCACTTAAATATGTCATTTCCCACCAATTGAATCAGACAGATTTTTTTCAGAGAAGAGAGTGAACCAATTTATTAGAAAAGTGTAACTTTTATTTTAATCCTACTGACCTGTAGAACCTTTCACATGTATCCAGAATGCCACATTCATACATTTGTAGGCATCACAAACATTCAGGGCCCTGAAACAGGAGAGAGAGAGAGAGAGAGAAAGAGAGAGAGAGAGAGAGGGAGGGAGGGAGGGAGGGAGGGAGGGAGGGAGGGAGGGAGGGAGAGAGAGAGAGAGAGAGAGAGAGAGAGGTGGTTACAATTTTGCAACCTTTTCTTGCTTTATAAAACTAAGATTTGTATCATACTCATCAATGCAATAGACATTTGGTAATAGCTATAAAACAAATTAGAAGTACACACTAACAAATCTTTACCTCTCCATTGGATGGGACCAGCATAGCACATTTTGGTTTACCATAGCCTCATAAAAATATGCAACAACAATAATGCAGAGAGAGAGAGAGAGAAAGAACATCTTCTTATTCCTACCGAAAAAAAAGAGACCAATTTGAGACTTTCTGGATTCTGATCCCCTATTTCACTGTTCTCCAGAATACTGGTCACAGATGAATTTCAGCTTTATGCTTGTTCCCTTCTAAAATAATCCTATCTTTTGCCTTCGACTACATAGCTAGCTAAAGTATGTAATCTGATAAGAAACCTTAGTCTTAATTTAACCCATGGGCAATAGTGTTAAATCTTAAAATGGGTTTTCTTCTTTCTTGTCTCCTAACTCACAAGAAACGTGTTCATGTATAATATTAATAAAAGAGAATATTTGTAGGTCAAAGGTGAACTGTGGGGGGTCTTTGACGCTCTCTGAGCTGTTTGTTTGCTTCCAGATTTTCATCACTCAACTAGCTAACATCTTCAGTACCCAATGTAACAAGAAACAACCAAGCTCAGAGAACACCAAAGATTCCACGTATATAGCATTCTTTTCATAGGACTTTATTCCAAAATCTGCTAAAATGAACTGTAGGCAATAATAAAACTGTTGAGTTTGTTCTTTTTATCAGAAATAAATCCTATTAATAAGTTCAGCGAGATCTACATCGTTTTAGGAAACTGTGCATAGAATTGCTGTCTTATATTATTAAAAATTATGGCCTTAATACTTTCTATTCTCCTTGTGTGAACCTATACATAGATTGCTTCTGTTTAATTGAAAAAAGCCACAAAAATGTTTTTTGTACTTTAAACAAATTCTCCAATTTTTCAAACTAGAATCGTGATTTGCTCCATAAGTATGGGCATGTCTGTCAAATCATTTTACTCTCATTAAGAATTATTAACCTTTCTGACAAAAGACAAGAAGCAACAAGACAAGAAGCAACAGATGGAAACTAATCAAGGAGAAAAGCAGCCTAGAACTAAGGAGAAATTTCCTGACAGTCAGAACAATTAACCAGTGGAACAACCTGCCTCCAGAAGTGTGAATGTTCCAACACTGGAAGTTGTTAACAAGAGACTTGACAGCCAGTTGTCTGAAATGGTATAGGGTTTCCTGCCTGAGCAGGAGGTTGGACTAGATGACCTCCAAGGTCCCTTCCAACTTTATTATTATAATTATTATTAATATTACAATCTATCCCATGCATTGTGTTAAGATGTGAAATTTTGATCACATGGCTATGGCTGCCATCTTGACTTTTTTGATATAACTAAGGACTATCAGTTTTTACTGTTGAAAATTGTTATTATGTACTGGTATACATGAGAAAGCAAATTCCCTCAAAAGATTTTTTTTTCTTGTTACCATATCATTGTATAAAAATATTTCAACCCAGGAATTACATATTCCATGTGAACCTCAGTATGACAATGCAGAGATTATAAAGAAAACTTTGCAGTATGAAGGAAGCTTGGTCTATAATTAACCTGGATGTAAGAAAATGTAGTTTTGATTTTAAAAAGAAACAATGGTTACTGGCATTCTCAGCATGCCTTGACTTTCCGGATAGGATTTCTCCATAATGTTTTTCCCTAATGCAAGTACATATTGTATACCTGTCTGGCTAAGTTAAACTCATAAAATTAAAATGTGAGCAATACAATATTTAGTTTTATTAAGAGTTTGAAGTTTACCCCTTCTAATAAATTTGTTTCCATGTTTTGCTTAAAAGGGATGCAAATTGCTTTCATTGCAATGTAATAACTTAGTTGATTCTTTTACCAAGATCATTAGCAATTAAAATATACATGCAGCTATGGTATAAAGTGCACCTAAACTGTATGTATGTATGTGTATGTATGGTGTCCCCATGGAGGAGGATGATTCAAACATTGAAAAATACCACATCCAGTTGATGCTTGTACATGCGAGCGAAGATAAATACGGGAGCACGCAGCAGAGAAAAGATGTTAAATTGCAGCCGATGAAGCCCCGCCTCCATGGTAGGATACACAATGACATCAAACTAAATCCCCCCACTGCAACGAGAGCCAGTACTGCCGGGAGAGGGCGGAACATAACTTTAACAATACCCCCTGAGGTCGACGGAAATGTGAACAAAAGTGCTCGAGAGAACGACGGAAGAAATCTTTACTCCGATTCCCCCTCCCACCTATCAGCTGTTCAGCAGGGAATGCTAGCACAGTCTAGGAACCACGCGCAGACGTCTATGGAACCCGTTTGAATCACCTTGTTAGAAACGGTCTCTCAGCCCTGAAGATGTTGGGGAGTTTTCCCAACGAAAGCTTGGCAACCTTTTAATATAGTAAAATACTTTAATTAAAGTATTTTAACTTTAAACTCTCCTGGTGAACGCGCTTTATTCATTCCATTTATAATTATGCCCGGGAGTCGCATTTTCACCATCATTATTGATATATATATATATATATATATATATATATATATATATATATATATATATTCAAGAATATTGGTAAAAATGCGACTCCCGGGCATAATTGGAAAGGGGCATTAACCCACAGTTAACGGAGCCCTATCCCCATTATAAGACACAAGAAAACACTAGACCGAATCCTCCCCCCGATACGATAGGTATTGGCGTTATCGGAAGAGGAGGAGATGCAAGGTTACTAACGCCTCCAAAAACCAACAGCGGAAGGATAGGGAAGGGCATTCGAAGAAAAGAGTATAACATTACAGACACATTTTGGTTATCAGCTGGCCAATCAGGGCCAGTGATGCGGTCTAAGAGCCGTGCACAGACATTACTTGAACCTACTTAAACCACCTTTGTTGAAATGGCCTTTTTAGCCCTGACGATGTTGGGAAGTTTCCCCCAGCAAAAGCTTGGCAACTTTTTAGCATAAGTATAGTATATTTTTAGTAAAGTATTCTTACTTTAAACCCTCCCGGAAATCCTCCTGGAGCACATTAACCACATTTCTACAACTTTTTACCTGGGAAAGGCCATCTGAACTCAACTGAACTTATTTCTGAATGAATATTACGATTGCCCAGTAAAAAATTACTTGTCTAACCATATTAAGCCAATCAAGCTCTTTGACAAGAACCACCATTGTTAAAACTTACTGATTGTACTCTGTTGCGTAAGCACTGATCAATGTACTTTCAGTGCTTGCACAAGTGAATTTATGGAATGAGGGCAATAGAAGAAGGGGACGACAGAGAATGAGGTGATTGGATGGAGTCACTGAAACAATAGGCATGAGCTTAAATGGACTCCAGAAGATGGTAGAGGACAGGAAGGCCTGGAGGAATGATGTCCATGGGGTCACGATGGGTCAAACATGACTTCGCAACTAACAAAAAAGTGCAAAATGGTGTTAAATGCTTATTTGTGTTCCTTTAGGCATTTTACAAGCATCTCATGCAAAGTATTTGGGGCTCCGAATGAAAGAACTATGGTTAGAAGTAGATAGGGTGGGGAAAATGAAACTACTTTGTTGGAACAACTTGTACACAGATAGGACTCCATGGAAGAGGAAATAAGAGCATGAAGCAACCATGCTCACCATTCTACCACTTCCTCTTGCTGTCTTCTTTTCCTTTGTGTTGATATCTTCCTCATTTTTTTTTAAAGTTCATATGTGAAGCAAGGCCTTTAACACACAGCTTGCACGATATAATTTACAGTACCTTGGGTGGTTTGAAACAGGGAAACCATGTATTCTTTCTTGAACAAATTTAGTGAAAAGAGAGAGATTTCCTTTAAACAAGAATCCT